TGTCTTTAAATAGTCTTCCAAAAGCTTCGATCATCATCGAAGCACGAATGCAGCCATTTTTTATAAACGTTCAATATTAAAATAATGTACTGTCATTTAGAAATGTCATCGAATAACCTCAGTTTCTGTACGTCTCCATCGCCATTTATTCCAGTCGGCCATTTTGAACCGAACAGTACCGAAACGTTTTACGTAATTATCTTCGCAAAGATTCAAGCTTCTCAGACATTTTGCAACACCGTGTCATGAAATCTTAAAATTCCTGATCTAATAAAGATAAGTAAAAGGGGAAACGATGTTCATGGACAGATCGGTTTCGTTTTCCGTGCGATCATTCGTTGGGCCGTTAAAAAGCACGCTTTGTAGAAATCGGGGTAAAGGCTCGATTCACGCTTTCCTCTGTCCGATCCATTCCTTCCTCCAGCTCTTCGGCTCTCTTTGGCCGTCGTCGTTCGCGCTCCGGAGCTAAAAGGTTTCAGAAATCGTTCGCACGCTTTTCGGCCGCGCGCATCGGATAAAGGAAAAGACTTTGGCCGAGTTCAACGAGAAATCACGTCGCCCTCGGCGTTTCCCTGGAATCGCAATTCCCGAATGTCTACCTTCTTCGCCTCTTGCCACGTCCCCTTTTGCTGCTCCTAGGTAAATCTCCAAAATAAAAAATCCTTTTCGAACTTTATTTTAATTTCGAGCAAAAGGGGTTATTAACCCCTTGTCTGATGAGTCTCACTCGAGTCGCACTCACAGTTCAAATGTAATAAATCTTACATCTATTAAGATTTGAGTAAAATTTTTAATCTTCAACGTAAAATTTGAGTTCAATAATTTGCAGTATCAAGTATCACTGAATATAAAGTGCTCATTTTACTTTTCTTTCTTTTAATATTATAACTGTGAATAGTTGACTGACGCACCTGATAAATAAATTGTACGTCAAGTTTACCTCGTAAACTCTTCTGCCCTTCAACAAAGTTTGACCAGAGTCAAATTATGTTCTTCAACGAAAGAACAAAGGTTTCCCGCGAAATTTGAAAACGAAAGACAGAGAGTAAGAATAACTATGTATTTGCAAGTTAACTGCGACGACAGTGGTATGATTTATTATAGTAAATCGATATCGATAGAGAGACAGTATCGACACGGTCGTTGATAGCGCAGGTTGTTATGTGATTTCGATCGTGCACGCGCCAGCCCGTCAGCGATCATTCATGCGGCTGTAAATAAGAAAAGCCCGGCATACCTCGTGCAATCTAATAACCTGCGTTATGCTTAACAATAACCGAGCTGAGTCACGCGTTCCCATCAACCTCAATCTTATTTTTCTCGTTGTGTCGCCGTTTCCTTTTATCCTCCGTTCTTGCCTCCCTTTTGTACCGCTTCTTCCCTCGCGTAACGAACACGTTACTTACTCATTAATCAATTACTGCAGACTATGCATTTATTCACGGCGCTATTTACGATGCCGGCACAATTCTGGTAAATTGTCCTATCGACGATTATCTAGCCTTACACTTTTCGAGGAATGCGGTTGAGGTTTAGAGTCTTGATAATAGTGATTGTAATTTTGCGCCGTGATTTATTTATCAGGTCAGACAGAACTGACTAAATACAGGTACAATTTTAAAGTAGACAAAGAATGTTAAATTATGTCGTTATTATGCAATGATTGACTATCCAAATTGCACTTGAACTGCAAATTGAAGCATGTTAAAAATTCAAGTAAAATTGTACTAAATACAGCTGCAGTATTAAAGTAGACAGAGAATGTTAAAATATTATGTCGTTAAAATGCAATAATTAACTATCCAAATTAGACTTGAACTCCAAATTGAAGCTTACTCAGAATTCAAGTAAAATTGACTAAATACAGCTACAGTATTAAAGTTGACAGAGAATGTTAAAATATTATGTCATTATTATGCAATAATTAACTATCTAATTTAGACTTGAACTCCAAATTGAAGCTTCTTCAGAATTCAAGTAAAATTGACTAAATACAGCTACAATGTTAAAATAGACAAAGAATGTTAAAATATTATGTCATTATTATGCAATAATTAACTATCTAATTTAGACTTGAACTCCAAATTGAAACTTGCTCAGAATTCAAGTAAAATTGACTAAATACAGCTACAATATTAAAATAGACAAAGAATGTTAAAATATTATGTCGTTATTATGCAATAATTAACTATCCAAATTAGACTTGAACTCCAAATTGAAGCTTCTTCAGAATTCAAGTAAAATTGACTAAATATAGCTACAGTATTAAAGTAGATAAAGAATGTTAAAATATTATGTCATTATTATGCAATAATTAACTATCCAAATTGCACTTGAACTCCAAATTGAAGCATGTTAAAAAATTCAAGTAAAATTGACTAAATATAGCTACAGTATTAAAGTAGATAAAGAATGTTAAAATATTATATCATTATTATGCAATAATTAACTATCCACATTGCACTTGAACTCCAAATTGAAGCATGTTAAAAATTCAAGTAAAATTGA